AGATTGTGATGTTTGTATAAGTTATAATATGTGACGATTAAGCACCATGCAATGATAAGGTGCATGATGCCCATCTATAGACGTAACTAACAACTTCTAAAAGTAGATTATTTTTATGCGTAAAATTTTAGGACGTGTGTAAAATTTTAAGACGTGTTTTGATTGCAGATCTTAAAATAAGATATCACTTTTTTTATTATCGATCTTTATACATCCTGGGGCAGTTAGAAAATTTGTTATAACCCACACTAGCCCAACGAGTTGAGATGGATATGGTCAGGCAGCTTTCGCATGTCCTTGCCTGAAATTTTTAAATACTGTACTTATATTATTTGAGAAAAAAAGACGATTTAGAGTGTGGAGGTAGATTGAATTTGTGACGCTATGCTTTTTTATTATTCGAAGTATTATACATATATTTTTTATTCCAGGTATCAAACTCAGAACCGCTTGTTGATAAACCACAAATTAACCACTATACCACTTGGATTTAGTGGTAATTAATCTTCTTAATTTCTAATAAAAAAATTCTTTTCAATAACGTAAAGAATTTTTTTTTCCTTGAAGTTTAGTATTTTTGAAACGTTTTTATATATATTATTATCAATCTCTTAGACCAAGGGATCTTTAATTGGCTTCAATCTAATGATGAATAACTTACGAATACTATGAAATGTTCCTTAAACAAAAAGTTCTTCAAGTTTAGGCAAAATTCTCCCAAAATATATATGGTATATTCCATGTTAAAGGGCCCATTTTTACATATAAACAATTTTGAATAAATCAGATTTAATTGAATGTATAACTATCAAAAGATTAATTAAAAATATTTTAAAAATTGTAAAAATGAACCCTTTTAATACGGGACACTATCGAAAAACTTCAGACCAATAGAAATATCTTAAAATATAAGGTGGATTGTGTGTCGTGTAACTTTATATATACTTATTTATTATTTAATGTATTAATTTAAAATTTAGAATCAAAAAAATTTGTAACTTTCGCTGCTACGAATCTTAATTGGTATACAGTACTAACCATGGGACATAAATTACAATTAATAACTAATGTGCGGTATAAATACCGGAAATATTCGTTATAAAATTCTTATAATTTTAACTCTAAAATGTTAATCATTCATGTTTGAAAAATTATTATACAGTAAAATTGTATATACTAAATCATTTCCTAATTAACTCATATACTCTATAGTTGGACGTGGTGATAAATTTAAATTATCAGATCTCATCTTCAATATTATTTTGCTTATCCATTCTTGTCCTTGCATTTCAATTAATCTTGATACTGCTCTTTCAAATGCAAAAATTTCTTCCTCGCCTGTAAATATGGGACTAGACTTATGTTCATTTTCATCAAGGTTTAAATCGTCCAAAATTTCATGATATGTGGGATCTAAAGCTTCTTCAGTTGTAAACAAATCCTTAACAGGAACCTCAGCCGAACATACTAGTATGGTCTTTTTTTTTAACAAAAAAAAAATTAGGAAAAATTAGGAAAAATTGAAAAAAAGAAGGTATAGCAGATCCGCAAAAACGGCATAAAATTGACGAGTTACCTTTGTATCATACAATGCATCAATAAGCGTAATAAATCTCCTAGCCTCATTTTTCAATTTTAAAGACATTCTTGGTATATCCGTAAGTATAATAGCGGTGTAATGTTTAGTAAGTTCAAGATAATCAGCTGCACTTAAAGGTTGACAACACAATTGTTCAAAGGTGAATTTTGCAACATCATTACAAGACTGAGGAACACGGAGAGATCTCCCCCAAAAGTTCAAAGTTTTTTCATGAACTGGTCGGCCATGCGTTAACATGTGAAAAACATCCTCTATTGAAGTCAAAGTTTTTTCATTTAGCGGTGTAAAATATAAACCATTTGCCATACGTGCCAGTTTACGATAATCCGTTCCGGAATTAAGAGATAGGATTTGACATCTTTCTTTCAACCGTTCAATACAAGATATAAAACTCTTACGCTGAATACCATTTTTGTATAAATCATCTGGATGACGGTTAGAGGTGGTTACCATAACAACACCGCGATTAAACAATTCATCAACAAGACGTCGAAGAATCATTGCATCCGCTATATCTGTGACATGGAACTCGTCAAAGCACAAGACAATGGCATCATTCGCTAAATCTGTAGCAATAGGTGGTACTGGATCATAAGTTTCAGAATAAGTTTTCTTAAGTTTATGAACTCGAGAATGAATATCAAGCATAAAAGCGTGAAAATGAACACGACGTTTCCGATCGATAAGAAGTGTATCATAGAAAAGATCCATCAACATAGTCTTGCCAGTCCCTACATCACCATATAAATATAGTCCTTTAGGACTCGCTATAGGAGTATTTTTAATCGGAGAACCAAGCAATTTTGAAATCTAACATTTATTAAAGTTGAATAATCACTAAATAATTACAAAGATATATGAGTGCTGCAGAAAGTGAATTTTTAAGTTTATCACTGTAACGGACTTTGTCTTTATTATATATTATAAGACTAAGTCCGCTACAGTGATAAAGATTCACTTCCAGGTTTTCACTCTACAGCACTCATTTAGGAACAAGAGAACATGTAATAATTTTACCTTGCCAAAAAATTGACCCATCATCCATATTACCCCTTGCATTCATGATAGGAGGTGGAACATAATTTATCAACCGTTCGTATAAATCTTGTAGGGTATTGACTATACTACGCTGAAAAGAATCTTCTCTTACCATTTTGGAAGCTACAAGAGCATTGTAACGTGAGATAGGTCCACCTGGACCTATAAAGAAATTATTAATAAAATTAAAATGAACAAATTCAAAATGGGCAAAAAATTTATTATCGCGGCTGATACTGTTGCTGGAATTGGGTCTCTATTCAAAAATATTTACCCTACTAAATCAACTTGTACTCTTTTTATGAGGTTTATTTGGAGGTTTCATATTCTACTAAATTTCGGTTATATTCTTTTATTAACAACTCTTAACCTAAACCCTAACCTAGATATAAAAATTAATGTCAAATTTTTTTCAGCACTAGCCAATTTCAGCAATTTCAGCATCAGCCGTAACATAATGAAACAAATTTAAAATACAATTACAAACATTAAAATCAATTACTTTTCAATAAAGAGGATTCATCTGAAATAATGGTAGATTCTAAAGATTTCAAATTAGACTCATCGACAAATCCATGGGATACAGTAGAATAGTTATTAAACAACACTTTAGAATAACCAATATTTTTTATAGAACCCGAAGGCCAAGAGGCAAGCAAATTCAATAATTTTGGATAACACAGATAAGATTTCCTTTTAATTATATTTGATCCAAAAAACCGAGTAAAAACTAAGGTTGTTAAACAATAATTTTTTACAGTGATCATCGTTTATTAATTAAAGAATGTAATTTTTTTAAATGAAGATCCGGACTCTATTTATAATCTATTATAAAGTGACACGAAGCATAATAGTGCTACAGATTGGATGATTTTCTGTGATTCACAGAAAACAGCAGAATTTCTCTTAAGTACAGCCAACCACAGAAATCACTCATAGTCACCGCAGAATATCGCAGAATATCGCAGAATACCACAGAATCCCGGGCCTGGTATAATCACATGATTAATAACCAATCAAATTGTGTGAAAGATTATAATTTTTACGCCATATGCATAACTTTCATAAAAATATCAAGTTTAAAACATGCATATTTTTGTAAGAAAGTTTAAATTGGAGATTGCACATCCCCAAATTTAGTTTGATAAAAGAGTCTTTCAAATATAAATTTGTAATATCGATATAAGATCATATCAATAGCGAAAGTAATAGCATTAAAAATACCAGTATCAAGTTTAAAGCAAGCAAATATTTTTAATTATAATAATGATAAGAATTTTCCTAAATATAAATATGTAATAAAGTATAATTTTTTTTTTTAATAATGGCGAATCGAAATAAAAAGTTTCTATATCTACTCGTATAAGTGAACATCCTGGTGTTTTTAGAGAAAATGATGAAATTATCATATGAGCAGATTTGACTCCAAATTGAAACCATGTGATTATTATGAAAATTCACGCTAATTAGTTAATTTAATGAGTACAATAGTAAAAATTTGGGTTTCGCAAAAGTTTCATAACTTTTTTTTTTAAAACATAACATAGACAGATATTTTATATTTATATTTAACAAGGCTTTAGTTTTCTTGATCAAAAATTGATCAAAAATTTTTACTAGTTATAATGCTAGCAGATAGACTGCACAAAAATACAGGTCCATGTGTAGTATGTGGTAAAAATAATCTTAAAAAAACATTTCACGTATTTAACATCAGACCTTTTATTTAAAGCTATATGAAGTCCTGTTATATCAACTTTGAAGGTAAAACTTAGTTTAAATGACCAACTTTGTCAAACTCATTATAATGAGTTAATAGCCTTTGATAGAGGCTTAAGTTTGAATAAAAGACAGAAAAATAAATTAACTTCAGTTTACGCTGTTAATAACAAGTATAATGAAAATAAAGATTTAGACAAACAATTTAATACAGGAAATTGTTATAAAAGTGGCATAGATATTCCTAAAGATGAAGAAAAGGCTTATGAATAGTATTTGAAATTTGTTAAAGGTAGAAATTCTAATAGATAGTTAAGTATCAGAAGTTGCTATCAAGATAAGTTAGACATTTCTAAAGATAAAAAAAAAGCATTTGAATGGTACTTTAAATCTGCTAAAAGTAGAAATTCTAATGGAAGGTTAAATATTAGAAATTGCTATTAATATGGGATAGGCATTTCTAAAGATGAAAAAAAAATATTTAAATAGTACTTGAAATTTGCTAGAAGCAAAAATTCTAATGGACAATTAAATGTGAGAAATTGTTATTTATATGGAATAGGTATTTATAAAGATAAGAAAAAAGTATTTGAATAGTACTTGAAATCTGCTAAGAACAGAAATTCTAATAGACAATTAAGTGTCAGAAATTTTTATCAAAATAGAATAAATATTTCTAAAAATGAAAAAAGAGTATTTGAATAGTATTTGAAATCTGCTAAAGATGAAAATTCTATTAGGCAGTTGAATATTAGATATTGCTACTAAAATAAAATTAGTACTCTTATAGATGAAAATAAAGTATTTTGTTAATACTCAAAATCTGCTAAAAGTAGAAATTCTGATGAATAACTAAGTGTTGAAAATTGTTATCAAGATAGTATAGATGTTTCTAAAGATGAGAAAAAGGTATTTGAATAGTACTTGAAGTCTGCTAGCAGTAAAAATTCAACATCTAAAATACTTAATAAAAAAAGTAGTGTTAAGAAACAACTTTTTTTAAATATATAATCAACATCAGCACAAAATAAGCAGTTTGTTGCTTTTGGAAGAGATTCTGAAAAAGAAAACAGCTCATAGTTCATATACAAAGCATTCAATTAAATGTTAATGATAATATTGTTAATTTAAATTATTAACTATTTAATTAAGAAATAAGGCTTGTTAAATTAGATGCTATTGTTCAAATATGTGATAAATTCTTATTGTCTAGAGATTGTTACTGTCAATTGGCTGCTATTGAGCTTCAGCTTATTCGAGAATATCAAATTTCTGCTTGAAGAATTGAAATAACAAATCTAATGAATAAAAAAATTAAAATTAGAACTTTTAGTGTAAATAATGAATCTAGTCTTTATAATAATATTTTACTTGAATATAGTGAGAAAATAGTAGTTAAACAATGAGAAATAGGAAATAGTGTTTATAGATTGATCAAATCTATCTTAGATATTCTTGTTTCTATTTAGAAACAATCTTCTCTATCTGTTCTTATTTCAGATAATACAATTTAATTGAAACTTGAAGATAACAATCATAATATTGGTTATAAGCATAATCATGTAATGATAATGGTTTGTTTTTTAAATGAAGGTAATAAAGTTTTATAGTCTGAAAATCAATATTAGTAAATTTGTATTATTTATTTTCTGTAGGAGTAGAAATTATAATAGAGGTTACTAATGGTTATAATATATGAATAGCTCAAAGGGCTATCTATATACTATGACTATTAGTACCCTTTACTATAATTTTTACCCTTACAGAAAATAAATAATTACTAGAGGTATGTTACTAGATATTAATTATATAATTATATCATTATTTTTATATGTAGTTCTATATTTATATTCATATTATACTTTACTATTTTTGAACTTTGCTTTATATTTTTTTTTATTTTACTTATCATTTTGCTTTTTATTTTTTTTATATTATAATTTATTATATAATAAATTATACTTATTTACTTTAGCTTTTATTAAAGTTTTTGTATAGTATATAACAATTTAAAAAATATAAATATATGAATGAGCAATATGAAGATCAGGAATTTTCTGTAGAAAGATTCCTGGTTACAAAATGATTATTATAAATATGATTATTTATATATAAAAAATTATACTGAAGGCAGTTATAAGTAATACTTAGTGCAATAAGAGATTATATAAATAATTCATTATTTACTATTCTAATTACAAATTCTTAATTATCTATTATTTAAGTATTTGTTTATATATTAGATAAGAAAACTATGATATATTAGCAAAAGTTAGATATTTATTTGAGTATCAGCTTTTAGATCTAAATAACAATAGCTTTTTTAATTATGATGATATTTATTGGCCAGTAGAATTATATTTTTGTGAAGATTAGAAATTTATGTATATAATAATGAGATTAAAGACTTCAAATACTAATTATTTTTGTTTATACTGTAATTGTGATGCAGTATCTCAGTAGGACATAGACTAAGAATAGACTAATACAAGAAATTCTAAATATAATATTATAATATTATATAATAAAATATAAAATTTTAATTTTTAAAATTTTATTTTATGAATTTTTAACAGAAGCAACTGCATAAAATTTTTTTTTTAGCAAGATATGTTTTATAGTTAACTACTATATATTTTTATTTTTTGAATTAGGTATTAAGATACTAGCTTTATTTTTAGCAATTAATCTAGCAAATTATATTCCTGATGAGTTGCATTTACTCCTACATATATTAGATAGTTTAATAGAATGTTTCTTTGATAATTTGTTAAAAAAAAAAGAATTTGAAAAAAAAATCAAGCTGGCTATTGAATTATCATTTAAAGATCTTGAGGTTGAGTTTGAATTTTTTAAATCTTCAAATAATAAGTAGAATTAGATATTGTTAATAGGTCCTAATAAAAAAAAAGTATTAAAAAATTTTCTGATCAATTAATTTATTTCAGATAGAGTTGGAATTCTTTGAATATTTACAAATTTTGTTATCTACAAATTGTATTGAATGAATATCTAAATTTAATATAGATATTCATAATTAACTATAAAAGAATTATATAGTAATTTGGCATTTTATATGACAATATGAATTTTTTTGCTATGATATTTTTTGTATGAAATTACATAATCAGTTTTACAAAATATTACGGAAAAAACTTCACATAGTAATATTAACTATCTAATAATAGGCATAGGACATATAACTTTGATTGTTGTAATTATAGGTCAAATGACTTGATGTACCTCAATTTCATATGTAAATT